ACCCCACAAGTGGAGGTCCTGTAAAGTGCTTAGAAATCTGGCCTCACTTGAAGTCAGTGGGTACCTTCCAGAGAAGCAGAGGGTACTGCTGGTGGCTTTGCCACTTCCAATCCCACTGTCCACAGTAGTTCTGTGTCCCCAACAGAAATTAGTCCAGGAACGCTGGGCTGGGCTCTCCGCATGTGTCTTTGGTGCCCTCTAGAGGTTTTTTGGTGCGTGGTAATAATGCCGAGCAAGCATTTGTGACTTGGCCCCGCCTCAGTGGCATTGAGTGGTTGTGACTTCTTAGACCTCAGACCTGGGGGAACTCAAATCCCACACAGGAACTGGACTATCAAACAAGACCCCTGTGTTTGCATTAGGATTCAATAGAGGAGTCTGGATTATTTACAGATTCCCCATATCACAGACCCCTGAGTACATGAACCTCTCCAGGACTTCAGTGCTCCTAAAATAGCCCCAGCCCCTGCCCATCTGATCTGTGTCCAGTATACACAGAGTTGGGCCTCATGAAGGGCAGTATCAGTGACCAAAGAATACGTATGCTTTATTTCTGTAGTGAGACCAGGGGTCTGGGGCAGCGGAGAGGAGGGGGAGAAGCAGCTCTGTGGACCACAGTGGCTCCTCTGTGGCTTGCTGCCCTCTCATCTCTGCAGTTAAGGCTGTGCTTACATGTATTGAGATTGATGGGAGGACTGAAGAGTCAGGTGTATGAATTAGGAGGTCAGGGCAGATGGGGATGAGGGAGCTACTGACAAGATAAAAGGTAACAATAACCTAGCTGAACTCGGAGCTACGGAAGCAGGAAGACCAAGCCTGCAGCAGCTCTATGAAAATACCTGATGGGGGGGTGCTGTCGTTAGTCGGTGCTGTCGTGTCATTTTCGACACATGTGGCAAAGTAGAACTATTCCATCAACTTTTCTTAGCTGTCATCTTTCCAGAAGCAGATTACCAGATCTTTTTCCCACACACCTACTGGGTAGGTTCAAATTGCTAACCTTTCAGTTTGCAGTTGAGCACTTAACAATCACGTCACCAAGCCTTCTTAACGGAGTCTTAGTCAGCCTTAGTGGACTCCAGGTGTGGCGCTGTAGAATCAGCCCTGGACTGCGAACTGCAAGCTCAGCAGTTCAAACCTACCAGCTGCTCCTTGGAAACCCTATACAGGGTCACTATGAGTCGGAACCGACTCAGTGGCACTTAACAACTGTCAACCTTATGGAGCATACGACACACCATGGATGACAGGTATGAAGAAAACCAAGGCGGTCTGGAGCATGGGAACAGGCACTCCTACTCAGCTCTACCTGGAATAGTGAACTCCTTACTAGGTCTGTGGGTTATTGTGAATTCGAGCAGGAGGACTGGAGCCAATGTGTGGGAAAAGGCCCACAATGCTGCATCACTTCTCTGCAGCTCACCCAGCCTGAGGAAGCGAATAGGCACACCATAGAGAGAACTGGGTCTTGATCTAAGAAGACCCATAGGGAAGAAGACCCATAGGTGGACGGACCCAAGATGGTTCTGTTTCAGTGAAGGAACTATAAAACCGTCTAGCCTAAGGTGGGAGTTCTGGTATGCCGCTGCGGGATTATGCGCTGGACCGCAAGGTCAATTTGAGCCGCAAGATGGGCGGTTCTGACCCACTAGCCACTCCTCGGAAACCCTAAACAGGGTCGCTTTGAGTTGGAGCCAACTTGACAACACTTAACAACAACAAGCCTAGGGTGAGGGAGCTTTCTAGCAATGGAGATATACAACGGGTCTTCAAAAAGTTTGTGGGGAAAAATGGCATTAAAAGATCATGGAATTTTTCTACAAATTTTTTGAAGACCTTTCATGTAAACCAGGCAATCATTGTCAGATTCCCATAAAAGGAGTTTTCATTACATTGAACAATAGTGTGTGACAGACCTTCTGAAGGCCACTTTATGCTGAGAATCTAAGATTCCATCATGAATCACTGCCTTTCACTGTGGAACACCAGACACAATCATCATTAATGAGCTTGCTGTTCAATCCATGATGGTAATGGGTCTGCACTCCTGCTTTCTGATATCTGCTGAGTTGTCAGACATTGGAGAAAGCCAGCTTCCGCCACTCACTCTCTGGTGACCTTGGGCCAAGTCCTTCAATTAAATAAAGAGACAATCTCAGAAGGCCATCTCCCTTAGTAAAAGCCAGGTCAGTTCCAGGGTAGATGGCAGTGGAAGGGAAATCTCTAGATCTAGCCACTATAACTTCCGTTCCTAGAGATCAGCTTCCTCTGGGATGACTCTCGCTAGTACTGCCACCACCACAGAGGCCTTAGGGGACCCTGCACTCCCCTTAAGCCTCAGTGGCCTTGGAGCCACAGAGGAGAAAAGTTTTCCTGAGCTGAGACTTTTTCTCATCAAGCCTGAAAGGGATGCATCTGGACAGTGTGTGCCATCTCCTAGTTCTTCCCACTTCCATGTGAGGAGCATCATCTTTACCCACCTCACAGGAGTCCAGGCCATGACTTGATTCAAAGGACAAGACTAGAGGCAGGACCAGAAGAAATAGGGTGTTCATCGCAGCCTTCGTAAGGCCTGCCATCCACACCTCAGAGCCTGTCAGAGTGCTCCCTCTGCCTAGTGGTTGACCCTGGAGATGCCCAGCCCTTACCCTCAGGGCCATGACTTTACCCTGGGCTTTAGCATATAACCTCCCAAACACAGTTCTCTGACGATACACACTCAGTGACATCTTTAACTTTACTTAGTAAATGTATAGTTGGTTGCATATAGCACTATGGACCGATTTTGTGTCTATTGTGTTCTTGTTGATATTAAATGCTGTTGAGTCAGTTCTGACTCATAACAATCCTGTATAGGGTTTTCAAGGAGCAACTGGTGGGTTTGAACTGCAGACCTTTTGGCTAGCAGTCCAGTGCTTATTCTGCAGTGCCACACCAGGACTCCATGTCTATTGTAGGATAGAGAAAATGAATAAATATTTTGGTGTTGTTGGAAACCAGGGGTCTCACTGTGGGAGAAAGGAAGTACAAATATAGAATGGGGGGACAAGTAAGAACCCTGTGGTGTTTATCTATATCTGTATCTATCTCTGCACACGTGGGGTCAACATGAATTGGAATCAACTCCATAGAAACTAACAGCAATAAATCTCTCTGTAAATAGTTGATGGGTAGATAAAAGAACTAGAACTAGTAACACCGTTGCTAGTTACACCACACAGATAATACGTGTATCTGTGCCCAGATCTTGGTTTCCACTAAAAAGAACCAAGAGGACTTAGAAGAATGTCTCATTCCAAGTTGGGACAAGACAAGAGCAAGAAGAGCCTGGAACATCTTGTCCTAGGAAGTAAAAAGGTGCCCCCCAAAATTTTGGGGGCATGCTGAAAAACACAAAACACACAAAAGGCAGCTTGAGGAGTATTCCACTGGTTAAACATGGGGAAAAGTGTGCATCAAAATGAGTAATAATAATGAATGGTAAGATGGTGAATCAAAAAGAAACCCACATTTGCCTAAATCAGAAAATCAGAGATGGGCAAGTTATTGTGGACAGTGGAATGGCAAGTCCTTCAAAGGAATGACAGAGTTACACCAGTTACCAGCCACCAAAGTAATAAGTGGTTCAAGTAAGAAGCATCAATGGCTGCTGAGAACATGTGCCTAACAGGGGAACAGGATATTCACACAATCACAAAGTGTGTCCCACAGATCCATTCATTACAAAGGGGGAAATGGAGAAATCTGGCAACCAACACCTTAACCAAGTGGTCAGAGGTGACTTCAGCAACAAAGGGACAAAGTGCCACCATGAGCAAGGAGGCCAGACCAGCACTGCTGCTATAGGGTCCTGCTGAGAAGGTATAGCCTGAACCTAATCAGACGCAAACCTTCAGACAAGCCCAAATTGAGGGACAGGCTACCGAATAACTGTGAGAAAGACAAAAGTAGACTGAGTAATTGAGTTTCAAAGAGATATGGCTGGCAAGTCAGTGCAATGCACCGTCCTGGATTTTGGAGGGGAAAAACATTTTTTGGCTTTAAAGGACATTATTAGGCCATTTTGTGACATTTGACAATGGATAGGACATTAGTTAATAACGTTAAACTTTAAACTTTAAAAATTTAGTAATCTGTGTTAAACTTTAAAAATTTAGTAATTGTATATGCTTATGTAAGAGGAGCTCCTTGTTCTTAGGAAATAACTGGCTGAGCTATTTAGGAGTGAGGGTCAGGAAGTCTGCACCATACTCTCAGCTGGTTCCAAGAAAATATGTCTGTATACATATACGTATCTTTCCATTCCCTGGTGTCTTTGTCTCTTCTTGCTACTATCTGGCTGATTCTCAGACCTCCCCAGTTCAGAGTCCTGAATGAGAGAACATGAAGGGGCAAGATTCTCTCCAACATTCCTCTTTGGCAGAGCCCTTTGCACTAGGACAAATCTCTGCCCAGCTTCTGGATGGACTGCGTAGGGCCAGGTGCCCACTCCCTGTCCAATCAGCTCTAGCCCAGAATGGGTCATGTGGTATATAACATGGCTGCCTCCACTGGGTGCAGTGGGCAAGAGGGTCTCCCATTAGAAGAGCTTGGCAGGCCTCATGCTTGGCTAAGCCCGGAGAGTCTGTGTCTAGGGTATCCTGTTCTAAGTTTCAGCTTCATTCTTGCCCTCACTCTTTACAGACGCCTGCTCTGGGCAGTAGGGGCACAAATGTGACCCAAAGCCATACCCTCTGGAGCTCTCACTGAAGTTGGAGAGATAATAATGACACAGAAAACAGGAATACAGAGCTGAAGTGAGATTCACAAAAGGTCATCAACACTACTTGAGGCCTGAACCCCACACCATGGGGACACAGAGGCAGGGGATAAAGGGCCTGCTGGGTGGGTGCACAGACTGTGGTTCATTGGAAGGAAAAGAACCTTCCCACAGATAGGGACCCTGCTGCTGGAAGCGTGCCCAGCGCCATCCCTGGGATTTCTTTTTGCTCTGTGCACAGCCGGACCCAGCCGGCCGAGACATCTCCATCCGCCCTCTCCTGGAACACTGTGAGAACACCCACATGACCATCTGGCTCGGGATCGTCTATGCCTACAAGGGGCTTCTCATGGTAGGTGCAAAGCCAGAAGCAATGATGGTTGGGCAGGGGAGAGGGCATTTCTCTGTCAGGGCTCTTTCCCCAGGGGTCCATCAACATAAGAATAAACAGCATTCCCATGACTAAGCACTTATCCTGTGACAGACGGGATGCCTGTCACATGTCTTCTCAACTCCCATAACTGTAAGCAACAGACGTGTGTATAACTTGTGTTAGATCCCCATTTCATTGGGATACTACTGAGGCTTGGTATCTTGCCTAAGACCACTCAGCTAGTAAGTGACAGAGTTAAGATCTTACTTAACCAGAAAGTAACCCCAAAACCTATGAGTGTCCCTCACAACGGCCACTGTACTACCCATAGGAGCTGTGACCTACTGACATCCCGCACCTGTTCACAGCCAGCATTCCACTGGATTCTTTCTAAATCCTTGGGGAGTAGACTCAGCCCCATTTTATAGATGGAAAAAGTAAGGTTCCGAGACAAACAATTTGCCAAAGGCTACCTAGTAACTTCCAATCACCAGAGCCGATATTCTCTGTACTCTGTTGTTTGCTGCCCTCAAGTCATGGTATCCCCATGCACAAGGGAATAAATGCTGCCCAATCCTGCACCTCCCTCCTCAGTTGTGAATCAGAAGTTGGGATCTACAGGGGTTTCATTCCCTAGGGTTTTGGAAGTAGACCACCAGGCCTTTCTGGAAGTTCCATTGAAACCTGCTTAGCATCAGAACAAGACCCAAACTTCCACTGACAGATGGGTGGTGGATTGTCTGGGAATCAAACCCAGGTCTCCTGCACTGAAGGCAAGAATTCTACCACCCAGCTACCATGGCCTCATCTTCCCATTCTACCCAGATCACAAACCAAGCCCACCTAACAACAGTGAAATTTCAGAATTAGGACCTTTATCCTTTCTTGAATCTTCTCTCCCCGGATCCTGGACAAATGATTCTTCTTCCCCTTAAATCCCTCGAGCAACAGGAAGTTGGCCGCTGGCCACTCTTTGGGTCTCCCCCTAGGAAAGTTAGGCCACTGTCTGCCTCTGTGTGACCTCCAGTAGAGACCAAGAATGAACCCTTCTCCAAAAGTCAAATATGCTGGACCTGCTTGTGCTACTGAAAAGCCTTCTTTCCTGCTACTACTTGATCCCATATCCTTTAAGGAGCCACCCCAAAATAGAATGTATTTGGGGATCCTAGGAGTCCTGGTGTGGTGCTGTAGGATAAGCACTTGACTGCTGACCACATGGTCAGTAGTTCAAAGCCACCAGTCACTCCTTGGAAACCCTATACAGGGTCGCTGTGAGTCAGAACTGACTCAATGGCACTTAACAATAACAACAAGGGAACCCTAGATAAAGACTGATTACCCATGTCCTGTGAGTTGGTTTCCATAGAAGTCTTTGAGTCTGTCATACAACAGACTCACTGGCTGGTTGCCACAGGGCCCCAAGAGGTTATGGCCCTGGAGTTGTCCACAGGAGGTGTTGGGGCTTGGAGAGGACAGATTCAGGGGACCGAGTCATCAGAAACTCAGAAGACCTGTTAGAGACGGGTAGAGCAGACCTGAGGGCAGTAAAACAGTGACCACAGACAAGATGTGGGCAGGCAGATCTCAGCTCCATGTCAAGAACTCCATGTCAGATTTGTGTAACAGCAGTGTGCACACATGGACTGGAGCTTCCGGTCCTGGAAAGTGTGCTGTGTCGATGACCTGCGTTTCAGTGTCCCCAGCCCCTGTGGAATACCTCTGAGAGGGAAACTAATTGTTCTACAAAATCCCTTCTGGTTTCCATGTTCCTCGATTCTAAGAGTCCATGAAATTAGATTGTGGTGAATCATATTGACATCTTTAAACTTGCATCTTGTCTGTAATGTTGTGATTTTCATTATCTTCCCCAGCCTTCTACTTGCAGAAGTGGTAGGAGATGACTTTCAGTCCTATCATGTCCGTGAAAGCTCTACTTGGCAGCACGAGTGCTCTGCCATTTGCAATGTGTACTCGGATCTGTTCATAGTCCTCCAGGCACGGAGGTTGTAGCCTGGTGGAATTCAGTCTCTGTGACTGAAACCCCACCCCACAGCCCCTCCTGCTCTAGAGCCACAGAATCTCAGGGCTGGAAAAGGCATGCCCAGCTCTGTAGACCCACCCCTGTCCGATTTTTCAGTCTCCCACCTGACCCTGAGCATCCCAACAAATGTTCTTCCACTAACTACTTCGTTACCTCCAGTGACGGGGCACATACTTCCCTGCAAAACAGCTTGTGCCATCAATAAATAGTGTACTCATTTCCTGTAGCTGGTGTAATAAATTGCCACACACCAGGTAACTTAAAACAACAGAACTGTATTCTCACAGTTCTGAAGACCAAAAGGCCAAAATACAGGTGAAGGTTCTAAAAGACTCCTTCTGGTCTCTTCCAACTTTGGGTGGCTCCTGGTGTTCTTTGGCGTGTGCATCAGTCCAGTCTCAGCCTCTGTCTTCTCACAGCTCCTTGTCAGAATCTGTGTCTTCTCTTCTGCCTCTTATGAGGCCCATCCGGATAATCCAGGATGATCTTATTTTGAAATCATTAATTTAATTGCATTCTGAAAGACTCTTTCCAAATAAGGTCACGTTCACAAACGGGACAGATTAGGATGCGGCCATATCATTTAGAGGGCCAGCAGTCAACATCTCATGTACTTTGGATATGCTGTCATAGGCTCAAACATGACAACAATTGTGAGGAAGGCACAGGACCGGCAATGTTTTGTTCTTTTGTACAAAGGGTCACTATGAATTGGAAATGGCATGAAAGCATCCAACAACATTCAACCCACTACAGATGAGCGGCCTTTTCACAAAGTTCTACCTTAACTCATCTGAAAATTGCTCAATATAAATTGTGCCTTTGAACTCTCATTCCAATCACTGTCCACTTTGACTACCAGATTACAATGTAGCCTTGCACAAGGCCCTTTCTCTTCTCTGGGCCAGTGAGGGGAGGTGATCTGGATCAATGCTGCAGTTTCTTCCCACTGTGGCTTCCTGTGGGTCTGTGCGTGACCAGTTGTGGGGTGAAGGACAGCAGACAGCTGCAGTATACCCCATCTGTGGAGACAGATGTGACATCCAGAAGATCTTGCGGACAGCAAAACCTCCACCGCCCACCCCCACTTCCTGAGTAGCCCTCAATTGAGCAGTTTCTCAGAGCAGGGAGCATGTACCATTGCTTGGTAATGACCATCTCCCCTTTCTGTTCACTGTTTCAGTTGTTCGGTTGTTTCTTAGCTTGGGAGACCCGCAACGTCAGCATCCCAGCACTCAATGACAGCAAGTACATCGGGATGAGTGTCTACAATGTGGGCATCATGTGCATCATCGGGGCTGCCGTCTCCTTCCTGACCCGGGACCAGCCCAATGTGCAGTTCTGCATAGTGGCTCTGGTCATCATCTTCTGCAGTACCATCACCCTCTGCCTGGTGTTTGTGCCCAAGGTACCCTCACCACCCTGGCCTCTGAGACCCTCAAAAGCAGAGTGCTGCTTTTTTTTTTTCACTTTCTGCACGTTTTACTCATTTCTTTTTCTTATCTTGAAAACAGTGCATAAGATGAAAAGTTTGGGGAATACAGAAAAATAGAAGCCAGATTTTTCACTTTGAAAGATTTATGTAGTCCTACCACCCCAAAATAATCACTGTTAACATTCCTATGTGTTTCTTTCTTTCTTTCTTTCTTTTAAATGGCTGAGAGGTAATGCTTTTAAAGATAAAAATTGCAATTATAGCAAACGCACCATTTTGTATTTTACCTCTTTCACTTTGTTTTTTCTTTCCCTGTGGTATTCTGCCACATGCTTAATCATCACTGAGGGGTAATGTCAACATTTACTTGACCCTTGACCCCTTACTGGTGAGTGTTAACAGTTGTTTCCCGTTTTTAAATACTATCAATGAAATTTTTTTTCTGTATGACACATTCTCCTTATTTCCTATTATTCCCTAGGCTACAGTCCCAGCTATAGTATTGTTGGGTCCAAAGTGATCACTATTTTTAACCACCCCTTCCATTTCCCAGTCATCTGAAGGGCTGACCTTCAGGACCCCCCAGGGGAGGAGTTTTTTCAGACCTTTCTCTTGACCAACAGTGAAGCGGGCAACTGAACCAGAGGCCTTGACCTCTTGGGAGCCCCCTGCTGGTCTGAGTACAGCAAAGCCCCACCTGCTTGAAGCTCAAAGTAAGATTAGATAGATCCTGAAAAAGACAAAAAACATTAGAAGTCTGAATTCGTGAGTATTAGTGTACCAATGTCATTTTCTTCATTTTGACAACTGTACCATGGTGTATGGATTCCATCACTATGGAAGATCTGCCTGTTAGGGGAAAGTCAGGGAATGACCTTTCTGTACCATCTTTGCAACTTTTCTGTAAATCTAAAATCATTCCAAAATAGAGTTGTTGTTTATTTGCTTTTTAAGGAAGGAGCTGGGAGCTGAGAGAGAGTCACGAAGGAATTGTTGACCCAAGTGGGAGAGTGTTTGCCTGTGGTGCCTCCATCATACTGGGCACCCACCTAATCAGTGCCCAGGATGCCAGCTCTTTCCTTCTCCTTTTGGTTGTCATACCTGCCAGGTTCTAGGCCAGAGTTTCTCTGCATCCTCTCTGGCCTTTTGTTCATCCTAAGATCCTAGAGGACTCTTCAGGCCCAGCCCCTACCATGTCACTCCCCAGCTGCCATCTCAGCCTCTATTGTGCCTCCAAGATCCAGTCCCCTGATGTTGGGCTAGCTTTGAAGATTTGAGTTTCCTCCAGTCTCCCCAAAGTCCTGTACATTGGCCAATTTCCCTTTTCCATAAGGGCCCTGAGGCCCAGGCCTCTTCCCCTCATCTATCAAAGTCTCTTCATCCTTTCAGACCCTCCACAGACCCTACCCAGGCCCGCAGGACCATGCTTGCAGCTCTCTTGGGCACTCAACACTGGATGCTCCTGGCCTGGTGAAGATCTGGGGTCACCCTTAATCCCACCCCACTCCTCCAGACCATGAGGTCCTTGTGGACAGAGATCAAAGCTCACTCAGCCCCTCTCTCCAAGGCTAAGCCCAGAGGCTATCGTGACCCCAAACATATTTCTTAAGTAAATGAGTCAAGTACAGGACCTTTTATATTAAAAATGCCTGCGCCTGTGACAGATATAATAAGCGTCCTGTCCCCAAAACTCCTCAGTGGTTATCAAGAACAGAGGTCTTTGATTTCCCCCAGCCCATTGTCTTCACAGTGTTCACCCTCAGGACTGATTTTCCACATAGAGCAAGACCTAAGGCAGAGCGAGGGGAGGCTGGAACTTGACTTAAAGAGCCCTAGGTGGTCTCTGTAGGATGGTTGGGATGCAGGTGAAAGCAGGGTAAGGAGACCAGACTTGTACTACTAGCCAGTAAAGGAACAAGTTCAGTGAGAGGAAGGGGCCACTAGCCCATGGTCACACACTACAAATGGCAATGCAGGCCTCACCCAGGGCTCCTGACTCTCAGCCCAAGTCCTTAGGGCCCACGTTGTCTTCAGTGCAAGACCTGATATCAGGGGTGGGAAGAAGCTCAGCCCCAAGATCTCTTTTCAACCCAGCTCTGTTCCTTCAGCTCATCACCCTGAGAACAAACCCAGACGCAGCAACTCAGAATCGGCGATTCCAGTTCACTCAGAATCAGAAGAAAGAAGATTCTAAAACGTCCACCTCAGTCACCAGCGTGAACCAAGCAAGCACATCTCGCCTGGAGGGCCTGCAATCAGAAAACCATCGGCTACGAATGAAGATCACAGAGGTACCTCCCACAACATGTGACGACCAGGCACTGCCTTCTCCCATTTGAGTCCATTTGATCCCTGCAGAGACTCTCAGAGCTGCTCTACCCACGCCCCATCTAGAACATCCTGTGTCAGGCTGTCGAGTCCCATCTGCTGTCATGTGGCTGCAAGAACCAGCGGTAACAGGCAAAGACAGAGGCAGTCTGACAGAATCTGACAAGAGCTTATTGCCCATCTGGCCCAAGCTCTTTCAAGTGTCCTTAGAGCGAAAGGCATTTGTAGAGATGTATGAACTCCCAGATTACAGTAGCTTCCTAAATTGTCTTTTCTAGCTCATTCTCTCTCAACCTTTCTCTCAGTTTCAGCCTCTCTCTCAGCCTCTTTCTTTCTCTCAACCTCTCAACCTCTCTCTTTCTATCAATATCTTTCAACCTCTTTTTCTCTCAACCTCTCCTTGGTCTCAATATCTCTCAGCCTTGCTCTCAACCCCTCTATCTCTTTCCCTCTCCCCACCCCCATGCTCTTTCATTTTCCCAACACAGCCCAATAACTACCCACATCTGTAGATTGTAAAAGCAAGAGAGAAGGAAGTAGAAACTTTGGGGCAGGGGGCCGGGAGGGGAAGGAATTTTACTGCACTAGCCCTCACCTACAGGAGCCCTGGTGGTGCTGAAGGATAAGCACTGGACTACAAGGTCAGCAGTCCAAACCCACCAGCTGCTACTCAGGAGAAAGATGAGACTTTCTACTCCCATAAAGATTTACAGCGTCAGAAACCCTATATAGGGTTGCTATGAGTTGGAACTGACTTGATAGTGAATTAGGTTTTTGAGAACCCTCATCTATGCCTAAGGAGCTCTGGTAGTGTAGTGGTTACGAGTTGGGCTGCTAACTTCAAGGTCAGCAGTTCGAAACTACCAGCCGTTCCATGGGAGAAAGATGAGGCTTTCTGCTCCTGTAAAGATTTACAGCCTCAAAAACCTTGTACAGGGTCACTATGAGTCGGAACCGACTCCACGGCACACCACCACCACCACCATCTCTGCCTGCTGTGGCTCTGTAGGATCAGAACTGGACTGTGAACCACAAGGTCAGCAGTTCAAACCCACCAACTGCTCCTTGGAAATCCTGTACAGGGCTGCTATGAGTCAGAACCAATTGACAACTCTTAACAACACATCTATGTCCTGAGGGTTCTTGGCAGATTGTTGGATATTCCAAATAGGTCATAACCAGATTGCTTTGTGCCTGAGCTAAATCTCAAATTCTGGGCTTTCTATACCAAAGAATGGAATCCAAGTTACCTTCCTCTCTACTCCCCTCCTTTTGGGTTTAGGGGTATGTCTGGACCCAAGGTCTGCAGACTGTTTAAGAGGATCCTGATTCCATAAATGAGAACATAGAGAACAAAGGATTTTGGCTAAGTGGTTATAACAAACAGGTCCCAAAACAAAGTGACCCAAAGAAAATCAATATTTGCTTTTCTGTCCTGGAACTGTCCTCAGCAGAGAAGCCTGTAGGCAGAGATCACAGCCCTGTGAACTACTTCTTGGCTCTGGAGGCCTAGCTGTCAGGGTTGGGACTGGACCAGGGGCTCAGACTCAGTGGGCCATTGTCTTTCAGCTCGATAAAGACTTAGAAGAGGTCACCATGCAGCTGCAGGACACACCAGAAAAGAGCACATACATTAAACAGAACCACTACCAAGAGCTGAATGACATCCTCAACCTAGGCAACTTCACGGAGAGCACAGGTGAGAGGCGGCGGAGGGGCGGGTACGTGGGAAGCCAGCCACCTTCCACTTTACAGATGAAGAGACTGATGGGAAGTCACCAGGCAGGGCAGGTTTGCCTGGAATCCGCATCCCCACTCTGCCAGGACCCTGGTTTCTTAATGTGTCCCACATTCCTAATATGCTGATTGGCCGGCACATCTCAGGTTCCCTTTTGTGAATCCTTTGCCTTTATTTCCCTGGACTTTCCACAGTTCAAACATGCCACATCAGCGAACAAGAAAGAAATGGTCAGTAAGTTATGTCGTGGTCCTCAAGCTCAACAACCACTTGGGAAATGCACAAACAGGTTTTGCCTGCAATTGAGCAAAACTTGGAAAGATCACCAGTGTAGGGAAATGAGGTCATTGCCCTACGTTTTTGGAAGTCAGTCTGGCACTCTCCAAATATTAAATTAAACCTCTTAATCTGACAACTCTACCACCAGGTACCTTCCCCTTGCAAACACTCCCACATGGATGGTCAGCGTGGCATTACTCATAGGTGAAAAGAACTGGAATTAACAGACGTGTTCCTCATTGTGGTGATTTCATTATGATACCATCAAGCCCAGCCCCTGAAGTATACAGCTACTGAAGTTAGGTACATCTGTGCCGATATGAAAACCTCTCCATGTGGAAAATGCAACATAAGATCAGCATTATAATACAGACAAATACATACACACATATATATGATGGGGTCCAGATGTGGCGCTGTAGGATAAGCACTGGACTGCTAACCACAAGGCTGGTAGTTCCAACCCACCCGCTGCTCCTTGGAAACCTTATAAAAGGTTGCTATGAGTTGGAACTGATTTGATGGCACTTAACAACATGTATGTGTAAAAGAGGAGATCTGGTGGCACAGAGGTTAAGCACTCAGCTGCTAACTGAAAAGTCAGTTCAAATCCACCAGCTGCTTCATGAGAGAAAGATGTGGCAGTCAGCTTCTGTGAAGGTGTAGCACATTGGGAACCCTGTAGGATAGTTCTTTGCTATCCATTGGCATCAACTCACTAGCAATGGGCTTGGTTTTGTAGGGGGTTAATGTGAGCTCCGGTAGCATAGTGATTATGAATTGGGCTGCTGTCCTCAGGGTCAGCAGTTTGAAACTACCAGCTGTTCTGCAGGAGAAAGATGAGGCTTTCTGCTCCCGTAAAGATTTACAGCCTTGGAAACCCTGTACAGGGTTGCCATGAGTCGGAACTGACTCCATGGCACATAACAACAACAATGTGTAAATGCATTCTTTATTGCTGTTGAGAATATACACCGCAAAGCATGCCCTGATTCAACGATTTCTACATGTCCTATTCGGTTACATTGATTACATTCTTCAAGCTGTGTAACCATTGTCATCTCCTTTGATGTTCCTCCCCCATTAACATGAGATGCTCCCTGGCCCCAAGCTCCCTTGCGAACCTTTTGTGTCACTGTTGTCAATTTGATCCTATCTATGACAGGACTTTAAAAAGTTCCTGGGGTAAAAAAATGGAATTTTTCCAAGAGCTTTTGGAAACCCCCTCGTCCATAATTCTTTTTTTTTTTTTTTTTTAATGCATTGCTCAACGTAGATGTAAATACATTTTTTTTTTAAAGATTTGAAAAACAAACACCAGTTTTTTTATAGCATTCACCTGTGTGGGTGTGAAAGACTCCCTCCTTATACATTTCATCTTGTGTAGGTATGCACTGTTTGGATCTTGTCACACATCTCTCTACACCAGTGGGGAAATGTCTTAACACTAAACCATCTGATTCCGAAGTTATGCCATCTATGTTGGTAGACTTGATTCCCCACTTTTTCTTTCAGAGAGAAGAGAGGGCACAGCGCTTGCCATATACATTCCCAAGTATACCAATTTCACTGCTAGACAAGAGGGGTCCCTGCTCACAGCCTTGGTCCCAGAGAGACCTTGTAGAGACCACAGTGTGTACAGGGATGATGGGTTTATTCCTATTCTCTCTCACTGGGCAGCATCTTAAAAATGTTGCATTGTTGATTTTTTAAAATTAGAATATATTCTAATATTGTTTTGCATGCAGACGGTGGAAAGGCCATTTTAAAAAATCACCTCGATCAAAACCCCCAGCTGCAATGGAATACAACAGAGCCCTCTCGAACATGCAAAGACCCAATAGAGGATATAAACTCCCCAGAACAGTAAGTACCTTCTCCTTAACAATTGTTACCCGAGAATATGTTACTCCTGTCCAGCAATTGACAATTTGTGCCATCTTTTCATGTGCATGATTTTACTTGAACTTCCCAGCAATACCATGATATAGGTCAGATTACACTGCTTATCTTACAAATGGTGGTGGTGGTTATGTACTGTGAAGTTGATTCTGACTCATAGAGACCCTGTGTAGAGTTTCTGAGGTTGTAAATCTTTACAGGAGCAGAAAGCCTCCTCTTTCTCCCACAGAGCCACTAGGGATTTAACCAGCTGACCATGCAGTTAGCAGCCTGACTTGTAACCCAGGACGATACCAGAGCTCCTCATTGTATGATGAGGAAAGCTGATATTCAAAAGGGAGGTGATTTGTCAAAGCTCTCCAGTCACAGTACAGGAGCTACGATCTGAACTTGAGTCTATTCAACATCAAATTCCATGCTCACTCCACTGTAGCACACAGCCTTTATTATGAGTAAAACTGAACCTTGTGATGTGAATTTGAGAAGTCCTGGTGGTGCAGTGGTTAAGCGCTCAGCTGCGAACCAAAAAGGTCAGTGGTTTGAATCTACCAGAAGCTCCATAAGAGAAAAGACCTAACCATCTGCTTCCGTAAAGGTTGTTATGGTGGTTAGATGCCATCAAGTCTGTTTCAACTTACAGCAATCCTATGCACAGCAGAACTAAACACTAACCGATCCTGAGCCATCCCCACCATCATTGCCGCAGGCACTGTGTCAGTCAGTCTTATTAAAGATCTTCCTCTTTTTCACAGACCCTCTACTCTACCTGAACTTGCATATGCGTAATGAATGGTCTATTCCACAGTCAGCTCCTGGCTTTGTTTTGACTGATAGTATTGAGCTTCTTCATTGTCTCTTCCCCTAGATGTAGTCAGTTTTGATTCCTATGTATTCCAGCTGGTGAGGTCCACGTGTATAATCACTGTTTATTTTGTTGAAGAAAGATATTTGCAATGAACAAGCCATTGGTCTTGCAAAATTTTGTCATGTGACCTACAGAATTGTTTCTGTCACCAAGGTCATATTTTCCAACTACTAATCCTTCCTCTTTGTTTCCAGCTTTCACATTCCAGTCATCAGTAATCATCAATGCATCTTGATTGCAGATTTTATTAATTTCAGACTAAGAAATTGGTAGAATTCTTTAATTTCATCATCTTTGGCTTTAGTGGTTGGTGCATAAATTTGAATAATAGAGGCAATAACTGGTCTTGCTTGTAGGCTTATGGATATTATCCTATCACAGACAGCACTGTACTTCAAGATAGATCCTGAGATGCTCATTTTGATGATAAATGTGACGCCATTCCTCTTCAATTGGTCATTCCCAGCATATCAAATAATAGTGATCGTCCAAGTCAAAGTGGCTAATACTTGTCCGTCTCAGCTCACTAATGCCTAGGATAGTAATATTTATGTGTTCTGTTTCATTTTTGGAAACTTCCAGTATTCCTAGATTCATACTTTGTACATTCTATGTTCTGATTATTAATGGATGTGTGCAGCTATTTCTTCTCATTTTGAGTTGTGCCCTATCAGTAGATGAAGGTCTTTGCTGCATCTATATAATTAAGGTCAACTCTACTTTGAGGAGGCAGCTCGTCCTCGGTTGTATTTTAAGTGCCTTCCAACCTGAGGGGCTCATCTCCTGGCACTGTTCTGTGCCTATTCATAAGGTTTTTAGTGGCTAACCTTTCAGAAGTGGTCCACCTTTTCTTCTTTGTCTGGAAACTCTACTGAAACCTGTCTTCCATGAGTTACCTCGTTGGTATTTAAAATATTGGTGACATCATTTCCAGCATCACAGTACCACACAAACCCTCACAGTATGACAAACTGACAAGTGCTGGTGGTACCCACCTAGGGGTATCATTCTCCCAGCTCAGAATTTATTTCTCCGTCCCCCTCCCCCCTGGACTCTCAGTCAACATCATATTGCCTAAAGGAATAAACAGGTCATAGCTGATCTAACAGGTTCAACTTTAATCTTAAAATCAGATCTCCACCATCAGACTTTCTTGAACACCTGTGAGGTGTCCCTTGGTAGAAGCTCTTCTGGTCAGCAAATCCTAAGGATTGGTGGGCAACCCGTCCTCTATCTTCATCCATCTCAGAAATCTCATCAATGCCCCAAACTCCAGGGAGCCCATGAATTGATGTTCCCTCACCACAGAGCAATGTGGTTTAATAAGCAAGAGTCCCAACTTCCCCAATTTCTATTTTGTTTCCGTTTACAAGTTACTTAACTTCTGCACTGTCCACTCGTTGTTTTAATGGGGATAGCAATACCTCTTTTACCTATGGGGTTTCCATGAGGATCTGGCTTTCCCACCTTGAGTGGTCAGGCACTGGGAATATGTTGTTGTTGTTGTTGTTGTTAGGTGGGTCAAGTAGGTACCAACTCATAGCAACCCAATGCACAACAGAACAAAACACTGCCTAGTCCTGCGCCAACCTCACAATCATTGCCATGCTTGAGCCCATTGCTGCTGCCACTGTGCCAATCCATCTCGTTGGGCATCTTCCTCTTTTTCTCCATCCCTCCACCTTACCAAGCATGACATCCTTCTCCAGGGACTGGTCCCTCCTGATAATATGTCAAAAGTATGAGAGACAAAGTCTGGCCATTCTGGCTTCTAAGGAGCATTCTGGCAGTACTTCTTCCAACACAGATTTGTCTATTCTTTTGGCAGTCCATGGTATTTTCATTACTCTCCTCTAACACCATAATTCAAATGCATCCATTCTTCTACTGTCTTCTTTATTCATTG